GTGTGGCGTGTGTGTCCCCCCCCCCAAATGCCGCTTCGCAGGATGGTTTTTCTGTGCTGGAATAAAAACAATAAAAGCAAAAATCGTGTGAAACGCAGCCAAGGGGAGGGCGGAGGGGTGGGGGGCGGGGGGTGTTTTCCCACGGCCGCGGGGGGTCCCGCACAGCCTGGCCGTCCCGCCCTGAAGGCAAATATGGGACCCAGCGGGGTGCTGTGACCTCGGCATCGCGTCCCCCCCTTCCACCGTCCCCTCCTCCCCTCTGCCTGCGCCGGAGCTGCGAGGGAGGGAGAGTCACGGTCAAGAGCGCAGGGAGGACCCAGGCGTCCTGAGGACCCAGGGATCCTGAGGACCCACGTGTCCGGGCATCCCAAGGATCCAGGGATCCCAAGGACCCAGGCTTCCAGATGTCCCAAGGACCCAGACACCCTAAGGACCCAGACGTCCCAAGGACCCAGGGATCCCAAGGACCCAGATGTCCGGGTGCCTAGAGACATCCCAAGGACCCAGGGATCCCAAGGACCCAGATGTCCGGGTACCTAGAGACATCCCAAGGACCCAGGGATCCCAAGGACCCAAGGATCCCAAGGACGACCCAGGGCCCAGGGATCCCAAGGACCCAGCCGTCCGGGTGCCTAGAGACATCCCAAGGGATCCCAAGTCCCAAAGACCCAGATGTCCCAAGGACCCAGGGATCCCTCCCGAGCACCCAGGGATCCCAAGGACCCAAGGATCCCAAGGACCCAGATGTCCCAAGGACCCAGGGATCCCAAGGACCCAGGGATCCCAAAGACCCAGATGTCCCAAGGACCCAGGGATCCCAGGAATCCAGGTGCCCAGACCTCCCAAGGCCCCATGGATCCCAAGGACCTAAGCGTCCGGCCACCCAGCACCCACCGCACCCTTCTCTCCAACCACCCAGCCAGTGAGGACCCAAACGTCCTCCCCCCTGCCAAGCCACCCCCAAAGTCCCCTGGTCGCCGCCCCTTCCTGCCTACGCTCTGCTGCCTCCCCCTGCCCTCCTGCCCGGGGTCCAAGGGGCTCCCGGGGATCCGGTTCAGGGCCCCAGGGACTTTGTCCCACGAATCACGCACCATGGACGGTGAAAACAAGCCGAGGGGGGCTAGGGGGGTCCCCATCCACCTGGGGATGGGGGCTTCCTCGGCGAGGAAGAGGATGGAGAGGATGGGATGGCCCCAGGGAGGCGTCGGGCATCCCTGGTTGGGGACCGGCATGGCCAGCACCAGCATTTCCGCCTGATGATCGTCTCCACTGACCCACAGCGGGATCTGCTCCCGCCGGAGTCAAACGTTAACCGGGACCGGGGGTGGCTTTAAATAGGAGTGGGGACAGGGACGGGGACAGGGCCGTGGCCATGGACAGCCGCGGGGCCGAGGGGTGGTAGCTGCCAGCAGACGGCTCCGGAGAGCGGGATTTGGTGCTGGGAGAGTTTGGGCGATAGCTAGAGCGACGATCAGGTGAGTGGATCAATAGAGAGATCGATGTGTTGATCAGGAGAGAGGAGAGAGCCTCAGAGCCAACAGACTGCTCGAGAGAGAGATTAAAGCTCAAGAGATTGATCAATAGAGAGATTTAAGATCAATAAATTGGTCAATAGAGACCAATAGACCAGTCAATAGATAAAGACGATTATATTGATCAATGGAGAGGTTATAGGTCAATAGATTGATCAATAGTGAGATTAAAGCTCAATAGATTGATCAATAGAGACTGATAGACCAGTCAATAGATAGATTAAGATCAATAGATTATAGGTCAATAGGTTGATCAATAGAGAGAGACCAATAGATCAATCAACAGAGAGATTAGAGATCAATAAATCAATCAATAGAAAGGTTATAGGCCAATAGACTGGTCAATAGAGAGATTAAGACAGATACATTGATCCATAGAAAGATTAAAAATCAATAAATCGATCGACAGACCAATAGATGGATCAACAGAGACAGATCATTAGATTGATTGGTGGATCGTGGCTCAACAGATTCATCAGTAGAAAAATACAGACCACTGGGTCGATCAATGAATAGATTATAGCTCAATTTATCGGTAATAGCGACATGCAGACCATCAGACGGATCAATAGAGATGCTGTAGAACGATAGATTGATCAATAGATCGATAGATTGATCAACAGAAACATATAGACCAATAAATTAATAAATAGAGAGAGAGATTATGGACTAATTGATGATCAACACATTATAGATGACAGAGAGCTAAAGATCAATAATTTATCAATAGAGAAAGAGCTCGCTGGATTGATTGACAGGGAGACCAATAGATCGAGGGATAGAGAGGGGGAGATCAATAGATTGATCACCAGACCTCTGTAGATGAGCAGATAAATCGCTCGATTGACAGGGTGAGGAGTCGGGGCAGAGGGCTGGGGGGGCAGATCCGCCAGCTGGATGACGGTTGGCATGGGCAATCGAGAAATCCATCGGCCGATTGATCGATCGATCGACCGAGGGGCGAAGGAGGGCTGGAGAAAGAGCGAGTGGGAGTGGCAGAGGGAGGGAGGGACGGAGGGAGGGACGGAAGGACAGCGGGTGGCCGGAGAGACCGAGCTGGAGACCGAGAGAGTGGCAGAGAGAGGGAGAGGAGCAGAAGGGCAGGTAGGGATCGATTGATCGCGAGGGATCATTGGAGGGATGAACCTACTGCGAGAGCGGTAGGACAGACGGGAGAGAGGATCGATCGATTGATTGATTGACTGATCAACCGATAATGTGGGGGGAGGGAGGAGGAGGAGGCAGAGCAGCGAGGGGCCGAGCTGATAGCAAGAAATAAATAATCAGCGACTGGTAGGTCAATAGAGACTGAGATTGATAGAATGACAGGTAGATCGACCGATTAGATCGATAGATCGAGTGATAGATCGATAGATCGAGTGATAGATCAATAGATCGATAGACAGAGAGACTGACAGATTGAGAGACTGATATATCAGCAGACACCCCAATAGATCAATAGAGATCGATCGATAGCGACGTTGATAGACTGGTAGGTAGATTGATCAATTAGATCCAGAGATTGATAGATTGACAGGCAGAGAGACTGACAGACTGATAGACCGACAGATCAATAGACACCCCAAGAGATCAATAGAGACCGACAGATTGATAGCGACACTGACGGAGCGATCGGCAGATCAAGAGACGGAGCGAGCGAGCGAGGCGCCGAGAGATCAATAGAGGAACCGATAGATCATCGACAGACAGACTGATAGATCGGTACGTGGATAGACCGACCGATAGACCTATAGGGAGACCGGTGGATCGATGGACGGACCAATCAATCGATAGGTCAATAGACCGATAAATAGACTGGTCGATAGATTGATAGACCGATCAACAGATGATCAATGGAGGGTCCTCGATTCCTTCCTCCATCTGTCCCTCAGTCCCTCCCTTGACACCCCACCCCCCCCTCCTTGATCCCTCTGTCCCTCCCGTGGTCTGTCCGTTGGTCCATCCCTCGTCCTCAGCTCTCCCCCCCACCTCTCCTCGGCTGGGCCCTTGGTCATCCCTTGGCCATCCCCGGTCCCGTCCCTCGGCCAATCCTGGTCTTGTCCCTCCACCGTCCTCCAACCCACCCCTTCGCTGCTGCTCGGCCCTTCCTCTGCTGCGTCCCTTGTCCATCCCTTGGCCTGTCCTTCCACCTGTCCCTCAGCCCTTCCTCCAAACCACCCCCGGGCCGTTCCTCGGCCGTTCCTCACCCATCCCTTGGCCCATCCGTTGATCCAACCCTCACCCCTTCCTCCAAACCACCCCTGGGCCGTTCCTCGGCCGTTCCTCGGCCCCTCCTTGGATCTGTCCATTCACTGACCATCCAAACCACCCCTCGGCCATTCCTCACCCATCCCTTGGCCCATCCGTTGATCCAACCCTCACCCCTTCCTCCAAACCACCCCTGGGCCGTTCCTCGGCCGTTCCTCGGCCCATCCTTCAACCTCTTCTCCTCCTCCCACCCTCCAGCTGACCTGGGCCCTTCCTCCCCAGCTCCATCCCTCGTCCCACCATGACCTTCGTGGAGCTGCTGGCCCGCCTGGGCGGGATGGGCCGCTTCCAGGTGACCTACGTGGCCGCCCTGGCCATTCCGCTGCTCATGCTGGCCAGCCACAACCTCCTGCAGAACTTCACTGCCGGTGTCCCCGAGCACCACTGCCGGCCTCGGCCCCTGGCCAATGACAGCGTCGGGGATGTCCCACTCCTCGTCTCCATCCCCTCTGATGGCCACCACCGTCCCCAGCGTTGCCGCCGCTACGTGGAACCCCAGTGGCACCTCTTAGAGGTCAACGGCACGGTCAATGGCACGGCTAACGGGGCGGCCACCGAGCCTTGCCATGACGGCTGGACTTACCACGACGGCGTCTTCGCTCACACCATCGTGACCGAGGTGAGGGGTGGCCCACAGCCCCGCCCTGGGTGGCGGGGGGGACCCAGGTGTCTGGGTGTTGACCCCCCCCATGTCCTCTCCCGCTGGCAGTGGGACCTGGTGTGCGAGTCCAAGACGTTGAGGCAGGTGGCCCAGTCCATCTACATGGCCGGGATCCTCCTGGGCTCTGGCCTCTTCGGGGTCCTCTCCGACAAGTGCGTGGCCATCCCGGAGCTGTACTGGGATGAACTGGGAGGAACTGGGAAGCGGGGAGAGCTGTGCACAGGGATGTCCTCCCCTCCCTCTGGCCCCTGGTGTCCCCAGTGCCCCCCCGGGGTGGGTCTGTCCCAGCACGGCTTGTCCCACTGTCCCCACTGCCCCCAGGTCACTCTTCCCAGTATTCCCAGCGCCCATATTCCCCGATCCCAGTGTTCCAGATGCCTTGTGTCCCCATCCCAGTGCCCCATGTCCCTGTCCCAGAATTCCCAGCCCCCCCATTGCCCCCCCCCATCCCAGTGCCCATGTCCCCATCCCGGTGGCCCCAGCACCCCACAACCCCCGTTCCGGTGGCCCCAGCACCCCGTGTCCCCCGTCCCAGCATCTCCAGCACCCCGTAGCCCCCATCC